CCCCCCTGCCTCCTATTTATAGGCAACCAGAGTCACCCGGAACGGCCCGTATTGAATTCGGAACGGCCCGTTCCGAATCTTTCAAATGTACGCAAATTTTTAAACTGGAACGGCCCGTTCCAAAATCGGAACGGCCTGTTCCCAAAAAGCAGAACGGCCCGTTCTAAAATCAGAACGGCCCGTTCCGAGAAATTGTTTTTTGAGAAATGTGTGAAAAGGCTTAGTGATTCTTACTTGAAAAGGCTTTGTTTTTAAGTGATTCCTTGTAGTCCACCTCCCTTAATAGTTCACTTTGTACACTTAGGCCTTTTCATACCAATCTTGCATCTTGAAAACCTTTTTGTGAAAACCTTTTTATCACTCATTCTTTGTGAAAACCTTTTTACCAACCTTTTGAAAACAAATTTGTGAAAACCATTTCTTGATCAAAGATGAGTGCTCATTCTAGTGTACATGGTCATAATTCTTTTAGTACTAGGTCTAGTGTTAGAGATGATGTAATACCCATTTTTTTTATTATTAATTATCAAAAGGCATTGGAGAAATTGCACGTTCTTGCAAACGAGAACGAGAGGAACAGAAGGTGCATGGCTTCAGCGGGAGTACCGGAAGCTATGGTGCACGTGATCACAAAGAGCTTCAAGCAAGGTAAAGCCACGTCGTGTTGTTATCTCAAAGAGCCTCTCAGAATTCTTCTTTTGCTTTGGAACACTTCCAACATGGTTGACAACAACAAAATGAAGCGCTTGGTTGGTGAAAACCTCGACTTTCTCGACTCCTTGACTTGGGTTTTGCAACTTCAAACCAAGAACAACGTCAAGGTAACAAACGAAGCAATGCCTGTGATGAAATTGGTTATTGAAGCAAAAGACTCAACCCCTTTAGGGAACTTAAAGCTTGAATTCTTCAAAGTGGTTGTAAGTGTGATGAAAAATAGAGAACTCTCTCAGCATGCTATTAAATCCGCATTGCATGTGCTCATAGAAACGTGTCCTTTGGGGAGAAACCGAACGAAGATAGTGGAATCAGGTGCAGTGGTGGAACTCATTGAGCTTGCACTTGAAAAACCAGAAAAGAATGTGACAGAACTCATATTCATCCTTCTGGCACATCTGTGTTCTTGTGCTGATGGGAGAGAACAGTTTGTGCAGCACGCTGCAAGCATTGCTGTGGTTTCCAAAAGGATCCTCAGGGTTTCTCCAACGGTTGATGATCGAGCTCTTCATATATTTTCCTTGATTTCAAAATTCTCAGCGTCAAATGAGGTTGTGCAAGAGATGTTAAGGGTTGGTGCTGTGTCAAAGCTTTGCATGGTGTTGCAAGCAGATTGTGCTTCCTATTTGAAAGATAAGGCAAGAGGGGTACTTAGGTTACACTCCAAAACATGGAATAATTCTCCTTGTATTCAAGTATACTTGTTAACCAGGTTCCAAAGGTGATCATTGATTAACAGAAACTTCATTTTTGTGCCATCATAGTCTAAAGCTTGTATCAAATCAAGTGTATAATTTGGAAAAAGAATTAAACTTCTTTCTTGGGTACGATGAATTAATTAATATTAGATCTTAATTAACCCAACTCAAATTTAATAAAGGATAATTTTTTCTGTAATTGTATATAGCTAGTTGGCTTGATGTAACAAGGACAGCACTTTTTGTCTTGAAAGACGGAGTTGATTGAGTGTATCTTTGGGGCGGTTGATCAGCAGCCGTCAACTATGACAAAAAATAAAATGATGGCTAAGATCAACTTCACCGCATTAATTGTTTCAAAGCCAAAAGCGAAAAAGCTACTTTCTTGATGATGCTGCTAAGACTTTTTTCGATGCTGATCAAAAAATTACTTTAGTGTTGAATCTACTGGACTGGAATTTTATTACACGTGCTTAATTTAATTAACTTGTTTATTTTCTAGTGGTTCTAGGTGTAAATTTGTTCCTTTCACAACAAAAAAAAAGTGTAAATTTGTTAGGTTATTAGGCGCTGGATTCTAATAAAAAATTAAGTTGGATTTTGATTAACCTAGCTAATTAACTCAAAAAGTTGATTTACATTTAGATCTTTGGGCTAATATGATTTTGAAGGTCCAACACATTCGAATTCGTAATGAATTGTAAATATATTAAATATCAAATATTAATATATATATATATATATATATATAGAATTACAAAAATATTATAATATAA